ACTAAATATTTAAGTATATATTAATGTATGCAAGAATTGATGAATAATTATATGATTGTATCAATAAATTGATATATGTATGATAATACATGTATAAAGTAAAAAATGGATGAATGAATAAATACATGCGTTTATTAATGCATGAATAAATGTACAAATAGAAATAAAATGTATTAATTAAGGTATGTATGCAAGTATGAATTAATGAATGAATAAATGAATAAATTAAAACCTATTTCCTACAACAGCAGAGGGACTTCTCCAAAGCCACATCAATAACCACCACACAGGAAGTCAAACACTACCGTTTTCTTTTATTGGCTTATACTCATCTTATAATTTGGATGGTTTTTTTTTTAAATTAAGACTAAGTCGAAAAAACTGGAAAGTATTTCTTAAACCAAATGGACATTTGATTTGTTTTGATCCACTTTTTGGTCCATCAAACTTTTACATGGGATTTTTGTTCTTATGCTTTTTGTTATGTATTTATTTTATTTTGAACAATAGATGTTTGGCTTCCAGAGGTTTTTCTTCATCACAGTGTTTTTTACTGCATGGTTTTACATCAACACCAATAAGATTATTTCAGGCATCCCGTCAGTGTTTTTAAATATTATAAAATAAATATAAAAAATTATATCCAAAGAGAGTCTGCCCAATCTAAAATGTTCAAATTAAAGCTTGTGATATTTAATCAAATCTTTTCATACTGGAATCAGCCTCAAAAATTATTTTGTGAAAATATAGCTCTCTTGCATTTCAAAGAAAATGTTTTTTGAAATGAATACATTTTTAAGTGTTAATTTGTAAAATAACTATATTTAATCAATTGTATCCTGTCTGTGTTTCACCTATTAAAGCTGTTCAGCTGACAAATAACAAGAGGGTATTAAATTAATCCATGTTTGTCCAGTATGCTTTTCAAAGAGTAAGAATAAAAATCCCATCTAGCTAAAGTTTATGCTTTTGCTACAGGAAATGCAATTATTGAGATAAATATATATATATATATATATATATTCTCTAAGATATGTATTTCATGTTACAGCTCTTTGTATACTTGCAACAACTATAACTTAAGCTTCTACTTAAACTAGAGTGCACCTACTGTCACACTGATGAATACATGCATTTCCTTATGAGCTCAGACTGGGTGAGAGGGACTAAACGTCCGCTGGTCTGGAGCTCTGCTGGCTGCCTACATGTTGTTGAGCTCCAGCAGAGTCTGGTCCAACACCTGGTGCATGTCCAGGTTCTCCTCTTTGGCTGAGGCCAGATTCTCTAAGAGTGGAAGCAAAGCAACAAGTGAGCTTCAAATGCAGAATCCATGTAGGCCTCAAGATAGATATATCTATATATAGAGAGAGAGATAGATACATTTATATATACATGTACAATGCTTAAGAAATTTATTGGACCACCTGTCTAGAAAACTTTTTTAATCTTTCAAAAATCAGTTGAAACTAAAAAGTTCAGACGTATATCTATGATAGATAACAAAGAGAAGAAGCTAAAGGCCACTTTTCTGCTCAGAATCAGCTTGAACTCCCATGATGCACCTCTCCCCCCTCTATAGGCCCAGACTGCTGTGGGGCTCCCATGATGCACCTCTCCCCCCTCTGGGCTCCCATGATGCACCGGGGCCATGCTGTGGGCCATTTCTGTGCACCTTAACACAATTCCAGCCCTTTACTATCAGAGTAGAGAAACATTTGAGCCACTTCACTACAAAGAAAGAAAATCGATCATATCATCTAAAGTCTAACCTCCCAGAATAATACCTATAAACGACATGAAATGTGAAATGTCAGTCTGATCAAGGCGAAAGAATAGAAGAATGGAAAGAGAAAAGGCTAGAGAGCTTTAAATCTTTATTAAAGAAAGGAAAAGGGAGTACATTTACACGACAGTTTCACTGAGGACAGGAAGTGCAGAGCCACATGGAGTAGCAGTAACTAAAGCTTCTGCTAGCAGATGGAGGAAAAGTAGAGAGCCGACTTTTCCCGTGTGCAGCGGAGGGAGACGGCGACAGACAGGAAGGAGGGGGAGAAAGGAAGGACAGCGTCTACAGTGTGGTCATGTCGTTGAGGGCCAGGTCCAGCTCCTCACTGAGGGCCTTGCCCTTTAGCTTCTGAGCATACACCTCATCTGGGAGAGGACACAAGCAAAGAGAAGGCCGAACAGGAGCAGATTGAGGACAGGAGAAAGAGAAAAAAGGACAGAACGGAATCAATCTGAGGGCTTTTAGGCAGTAAACAGGTTCTCCAACGTCACCACAAGAGCTCAGCATGTCCATAAAGGCTACTAAATGATTAGTTTATTAGTGAGGTGGGTACAGTTTCCGTCCTGAAATGGCTCTAAAAGACAGGAATACTACGATATTTAAATCAATTCTCCTTCAAGGTAGCTCTAAAAAGAAATCCCCTCTCTGGAGGAACTGTCGGAAAAGAGAAAGTCTCCCTATTTAAAGCAAGATGTGTTCCCTTAGTTCTTCTTCCAAAGTACTTTGTCCCTTCAGGTATTTATTCAGAGATGTGTGTGCAGTTAGGATCCACAGAATACTGACAACTAAGACAACTTAAGCTGCCTTCAGACACCTTTCCAGGAATGTCCATGTGTTTTTAATCAAGATTAGTAAAACCACTGCTGATAAAGGGGTTGTTTTTTAGCCATATTTTCCATTTGAAGTTGAATACACTGAACCAGTTAGCTGCTTACTATATTCTAATGGTTTTATCTTCAGTAGCTATTAACAAAAGAGGTTAAAAATCATACATTTTCTCTTTCTTTTCAGATTAGAAATGCTGTGTAACAACAGGAAAGATATTTCTCCTAAGTTTTCAGATGCTAGAAAACTTCTTAACCTTTTAATAGAACAATAGAGCTGGAGATAATTATGTCCTTCCAGTCATCGGGGGGAGAAGCTACTGTTTACAGCAAAGCTGCCCATTCAGGACCAGAGAACATCTGCTGATTGTTAGCCTGTTTGTTAGATAATCGTTCATGAAGAACACAAATAGGGAGAGAGGGAGCTCCATACCTTCCAAATCATCGATGGTTTTCTCCAGTTTGGCCACAGACCGTTCAGCAAACTCAGCACGGGTCTCAGCCTAAAACACAAAGCCCCACATGGATTAAATAGAGTTAAACACCTATTAACCTTTATTCAAACTTCAATAGCAACGTTACAAATACGGCCATTATAAGTTTAGCTTGATTGTCTTTAAACAGGGAAACGTAGGACCCACTATTACAGAGACTAGAAAACCTCACCTCTTTTAGTTTTTCAGTAAGAACTTTGATTTCCTCTTCAAATTTGTCCTCCTTTTGAGAGTACTGGAACCCAAACAAAGGCACAATTAAAATACAGTCCACACATCCACTGATGGAAAATCAGTTCTTGGTGTCACGGGAAGTAGGTAAATGAGAAAAAGAGTTCCCTTTATATGACGAACAAATGATTTCTGATAACTGTAATGTTTAACCTGATGTGTTTTCTTCCAGAAGGTAAAGATACCTTGACACAGACAAAGGTTATACGTGTTGGTAAAGGTTTCTGAAGTGTCCCGGTTTTGAATAGGCCTACTCTGGTGTCTTAATAGGAAATGAACTGCCATCTGTAGTTTTCATATCTTGGCATTTGGGCTTTTAACATCACTGTGTATCCTTGAATTTAGGATATTCATAGATTGTATGAGGTGTGTTACTCTGCACTTGGTTGTTAACTGATTAGGCTCAAAGGCCGGTCACATATAGCTGTACCTTCTCAGCCTGGGCCTCCAGAGACTTCAAGTTGTTGGTGACATTTTTCAATTCTTCTTCAAGGTCACCTGATTTACTGAGCAATGTAAGAAAGAAGAGAAGCAAAAGAAGAAAAGTAGTGATTTGAAAAGAAAGACAGGAGAAGAGATCACACCTTACAACTACTAGAAGGGAAACTAAATGTTTCTGAGAGATTCTGATGTAGGGATTCCCCAGATGGAAATCGGTTACATCGTAATTGAGTCAAAGAGCAGACCCGGGTTTAGCAAAATACCAGGGTGGCTGAACAGGGAAATCAGGACAAAGAACGAGCGGCCCAGAATTAATCAGGAAAGATAAAATAGACATAATCACGAAAAATATCTTTCAATTTCCTGTGACTTTTGATTTGACTTCACAAATCCACATACATCAATTTGTTTCTCGCACTCAGAAAACTCCATTAATTGTTTTTGGTTCTCAGATTTGGGCCATTTGGTACCTATAGAGACTCATCTCCCATCTAGCATGCACGTTTTTATTGGTGCTGGGAAAGAAGGTTAAGTTCAAATTGAACTTTAAACTTGATTGATTGGTTGATTGCTTGGTTCTGTCCTGGAACTCTGGTTCCACCATCCAAAAACATGCATCTATTCATTCTTTTGCACATCATTATTTATCACAATATTTTTTCTGCATATACTGTATGTATACATATATGTGTTGTTTTTTGAATATCTGGACTGTGTAACGGAAATAATTTCCCTCTGTAATTTCTCTCTGTATTTCTAATTCTGATCAACATAGTTGTTTTTTTATACAGAGGCAGAGAAAATGCTTTCAGAACAGCTGTAAAGTTTTTATCTTCTAAATGAGAGTTTTTTGTGCTAGCTCTTCAAAGCAAATGAGCTTCTCACTTTGCCTCATCTCAGCTGAGGTCTTCACCAAGCGCCCCAAAAAAAAAAAACTTGTTAACAATGGATGGACCAAAGGAATCAACACAGGCTGCTGTAGTATGAAGTATGTGATGTTCAAAGACAGTCTAACAGCATATTCTCCAGATTCTGGGAATTTTTGTCGCTAATAACTGGAATCCAATATGACAAACGTTTGTCTTCTATTAAATTTATCATCGGTTCAAAACAAAAATCAAATACTAGCAAAAGAACGATGTGGTGGTTAAACAGAGAAGCAGAAGTTTAGAGGCTGCAGGTCAGAGAGAACAAAGCATAGAAACACGTTAAAACTTAGGAAGGTTCCACGTCCAGTACCTCCTCTTCTCCGCACATCATGGACTTCAAATTCTGGTCCATTAGTCTTAGTTCCTCCTCAAGCTCCCTCACACGCCTGACGGGGTTAGTCCAGGATGGTGGTAGTAGTGGGAGGGGGCCATAAGACAGCACAGGTAGTGCAGACATGCATTGATGATGCAAAAACACACAGCACAACAATCCAGGTGTGATAAGCCTTCAGGTGCACTGAGCTATGGGACACACGAGTCTTTAGCTTTAACTCAAAAATGAGATAGTCACTAAACAATCACCATTTATCTGAATGCAAAAAAGTTTAGCAAGAAGTTTCTAAAGTATAACAAATTCTCAAGTTGGTTTGTAATTGTGCCAGAAAACAAGTTGGGAGTAGAAACTATGTGACCACTAAAAGCAGAGTCACCGTTCAGGTTGTCCCTTCAGTAGAAATGTGGTGCACAAAGGCAAGAAAACCGTGGCTCTTATTTACAGATAAGATTTCTGTGAATATCAATTACAACATTGTCAATGGAACTATTACAGAGAGCATCATTTTATAGATATTTAGTGACAAAATGAGTGCACTGGTGGTCTTTTGTTGTCATAATAGTAACCAAACTGTTTCTATGATGACAACATAAACACTGCTCAGAAGCCCAGATGCAGGTGTGAGTTTTAATATTAACAATAAAAAGGGACTTACGCCTCAGCTACCTCAGCCCGCTCCTCTGAGCGTTCCAGGTCCCCCTCCAGAATCACCAGTTTACGAGCAACCTGCAGACCATCGAAATAACAAGATGACAACAAGGATTCATATGCTCCAACTTTAACAATCAACGTCTAAAAAATAGCTTTTGCCAGAGGTCATTTGATCACAATTTATGGATAATCGTCTGTTTGATTTTTAAACAACACGTATTGCTAATTTGTTTTTACTTTTACAGAAAACTGTCTGCGTGCCTTCCTAGAGCTCAGTAGTTTCTGTGCTGGTTTAATAGACAGTCAAGTCTGACTTTATAAGCTCATTTAATGCAAGCCTCAGCTCTAACTCACACTAACTATCCACACATTGGCATTTATTTATTCTTCTCAAACTATCATTATCACTTATTTTAGATCTGTGTGTGTATATATATACATATATATATATGCTGTTGTATATGCTGGAGTTGGGAACAAAAATTATTTCCCTCTGGGAATATTAAAGTATTTCTGATTTTGATTAACCTCTGTCTAAGTGTTTTGCTTTTGAGTTGTACATGAACAATGTAAATGAGGTCCCAGGAGACACCTTCAAACTTAATATTAATGTTCATATTAACTATATATTTTGATAGTGTTGTTCATATCATACACCCAGTATCATCAATCAATACTGAAACACAGGATTTAATACTAAAAAAGAAAAGTCATTTTTCAATCTTCAAATCTGATCATGAAATGTTTTTACTTTTAACTTTTTAGTTAAGTTTGCTGGGACTCTCACCTCTTCATATTTGCGGTCAGCCTCCTCAGCAATGTGTTTTGCCTCCTTCAGCTGCATCTCCTGGATCTCCATTTTCTCTTCATCCTTTGTTGCTCTATTCTCTATGACCTTCATTCCTCTGAATAACAGAAGGGAAATGAGACGTTTACAGTACACTATATATGTGTGAGATGTAAAACTTCCATCTATTTTTGACTGGATGTGAAGGAGCCTCGTCAAACTGGGACAATACGTCTGGTGTAAAGTCACTGAGGAGAATGTGACTTTTAAAGTCTCCTTTATTCAGCTGAATGTTGATGGAAAGGGAGACAAAGGTTTTTTGGATTGAGACCAAGAGCAACAAACAGAACTGGACCAACACTGACAGAAATATGTAGCAGAGAAGGATGATGATAAACTGTTATCATTATAACAGGATAATTTTAGTTTCATCCAATTTTAGCTCACACAAAGTTAAAGTCTTACAGATATGTGGTAAAGTGAGCTCATAATTCATAATAAAAAAAAAAAAAGTGTATTCCTGATTTTTCAGCTGATTTAAGACTATGTGGGCAGACAGAGCCTGCAGACAGAGGTGGAACAGAAAAGGAGGAGGATTCCTCAGCTGCTGGAATCCTGGAGAACATCTGCAGCCCAGATGTTGAACTGTTGTCCACGTTGTTACTGACAGAGTTCACCTCCGTTACCTGCTGGTGCTGTGACATCATCAGCAGGTTTTTGATAAGCTACAAAGACTTGTACCACACCTCTCTTAGATCCTCTGCAACCTTCTGCGTGTTTATCAGCTGATTTGTGCTCTTTCATAGTGATCTACAACTTTATATACTATATAAACACACCAATAAAACAGTTTTAATCAAACATTTTAGTTTTGTACGCCACTGTACTATTTGTTAGCTTACTTGATCTCAGTTTTCTCACTGATAATTTGATTTAATACTAATGATTTAAATAATTACCCTCTGGGATTATTAAAGTATTTCTGATTTCTGATATTTGTTCGACCATAAACAAAAGGCAGATAGAAATCAAAAACACTTTTTGAAAAGGAGCAGCATCTGACATCATGGTAAGTGATGCATCTAGTCTGCTCTGCAAATAACAATACTGGGCCTGGGGTTCTCTTTGGAGCTCAGTTGAAGAAGCTGTCTAAATAGTTCCTCCCCAAGATATATTCAATCGTGCGCTTCACCTCTCGCTTTCATCTGCAGCTTTCTCAGCTTCTTCCAACTTCTGGAGAGCAGTTGCTAGTCTCTCTTGAGCTCTGTCCAATTCCTCCTCCACGAGCTGGATACGCCTGTTGAGAGATGCCACCTCTGCCTCAGCCTGCACACACACACACACAGATCAGTTATGGGAGAATTATGGATCAGAGAGCTTGGCTACAGAGTCAGTTTTATGATTTATGTGTGTATGACAGAGAATTATATGCTTTATAAAGTACCAAATATGAGCTGCACGTTTCTGATATGGAGAACAGCTAAAACACTAAAGTTTAGACATTTAAATACAGACAGTGTAGCGTTCAATAAATAAAATACTCTTCCACAAAGAAATGGTTTAAAAAATCAGTATGTTTATCATTAGATTAACATAATTCTGATCAATTCTGAATCATTATTTCACGGGGGTGTTGTCCAGTCAACATCCGGGTATTTTCGACGTAAATTGCAAAATAGGAAATACTGTCTGAGAAAACCATTCAATTATTCCTAAATTATTTTAATGAGGAAACATTTGTATTATTTTTTTTATTTATCTGACGTAAAAAAAACGGGATTTGAGTAAAATATTTAGTTGTCCTTGTTTTACAACGTTTCGACTGGTTCTGGTTCTCTTGAGGTTTGGGGTTTCAGCCCGTGTTGCCATGGTGACACGCAACGGAAGTAAGACACGAGAGTCGGTAAAGACTCTGAAGTCACGACACAAAGTTCCCCGTTAAGAAAACACGCACTTTTACGCACGTACAACCCGCAGACCGGTTTGTGGCGTATTTGTGCGCTCTGACGGTTCGTCCTTCCCCGTTTAGAGCTGTGGTCCCCGTGCCGGGGGCCCCGGACCGGTACCGGTACGTGGGTCAACTGGCTCCGGGCCGCCGGCCGCCCAAGTAATAATTCATTTGTTCCGTTGTATTTATTCTCCGAGTCTCAACACATTCATTTTGTAAAATCTTTAACAAGTTAGCTAAATGAGTGAAAAACAGCCGTCTTTGGAATAATAATAAAAAGGTTGGGGGCCACTGATGTAGAGGACTGAAAAACCTGTTCCTAGTTCCCTTTCCCCGTATCGACAGGTCAGTGCTACCCTTCTCCCGGTTCCTGGTTCCCTTTCCCCGTAGCTACAGGTTAGTGCTACCCTCTGCCTGGCCTGCCTCTCCTCGTCCGCCTCCCTCTGGAACAGCTCGGCCTGGCCCTCCGCCTCATACGCCACTTGCTGCAGGGTCTGAATTTTCCTTCTCACGGCGTCTATGGACGTTAAAGTCGCCATACTGTCAAGCTTCTGCTCCCAGGTTCCCGCCGGCGTCACCACGTCTCCATGGTAACTGTCCGGGAGCTCTTCCGGGTATGATAGATAGATAGATAGATAGATAGATAGATAGATAGATAGATAGATAGATAGATAGATAGATAGATAGATAGATATTTACTTACGTCTGTGGCTTTTTTCTCTGCCTGCTCCAGCTTCTCCTGGGCATCCTTGAGGGACTCGGAGTATTTGTCCAGCTCATCTTCTATTCCTTTGAGTTTCTTCTGGAGCCCCAGCAGCTCTTCCTCCAGCTAGAGGCCACACACACACACACACACACACACACACACAATAGAGGCAAACGTGAACGAAGAAAACACAACTTTGGAGGTCATCTGAAAAGTTTTTTCATTAATTAAACTGACTTTAGTCTGAAGTCTGCTTTGCCTGTTTGGAAAAGATATATAATCGGGATGGCGATATTTTGTCACTCACAAACAAATAAAAATGCTTTTTTTAAATGCTAATAATGAATCAATCTGACACCAGTGAAGTCGATTGTCCTTTAGTTGAGAAACACCTGATTTGACAGCATCCTATTGGGAGATGCAGAGTCAAAACATCAAGGCCTTAGTTATTTCCTATAATCTAATATCTCAGTGAGAAATAAAGAGAACAGGTGTTTGTCAGAGCTTTAGTTCTGTAGAACAAACAGTGCCACTGCTACTTCTATTCCTCCTCAGAGATGCTCAGGCAAAATATTTTTGAAAAAAAGTAAAACCTTAAGCACTGACCTATGATGTATTTTAACCATTGTATAAGCAGGAGTTATCCAGTCAGTGGGAAATATGAGCTGACCATTACTGACCACAGCTGTTCTGTTTGGGACCCACTAAACACATAAATACGTAAGGTGAACATCATAAAACTGGAAATAATGTGCCGTAAATAGTAGGATTAGCTTGACCACTAAAAAGAAATGAGAAATTGCACTAAATAACACAACTGTGTCAGTATATGTTATTCTATCTGACTGGAAAACTAATATGAATGGCCCTCAAGTTTTTATCAAATCCAGAAAGCTAAAAGTCCTCTGGTATGACATTAGCTCTGTCATCCCACCGCCTGATGTCATGAATTAGCTCTCCAATCTCAGGTGAGCACCTCTGCTTTTAGAATTTAACAAATACCTAACCAGAACGCAGCTATAGAGTCTTCAGGAGAATCTTTTAATTTGATCGTAATATCTGAGAATAGACATCTTTGAACCCTGTGGTGACAAATTCTTGTAAAGTTCAGCTGTTTTCGGTATAGAGCAGTTCTTTTGTTAGCCATGACTCATCTACAAAGCCCGTTCCAGCTTCAGGGACTATAAAAAGGCACTTGTAAATGACAGTGAGCTGCCCCTGGATGAGAATGTCCACGGAACAATTGTCCTTTCTATCACTTGTGACAGCTTCCCCAGCCTGTGGCCATGTAAGGCCTTCTCTCAGAAATAGAGCCTGGCTTTCCTGGTCCCACAGTCAGAGTAATAGCTCCCAAACCGGCCTGTCAAAGTACAGCAACTATTCAAAACAGGCGGGAAGTCTTTAGGGGCAGCACAGGAATGGAGAGTATTAAATATAAGTAACGGAGCTGCATTGTAAAGGCCTCCAGCTGGAATCCAGCGGGAACAATCACACGCTGGCGGTTGTACAGTTGTATAGTTTAACTCTATTAATACACTCTGCCACCTGATCTAGTCAAATAGAGCAGAGGTGAGAGGGGCTTTATTCATGTTCAGCACTGTCTCATTAGCATGCAGGAGGAAATTCATCAGCACAAGCTCGGAATTGGACTTTGGCCATGGAAACTTACTCAAGCAGTTTTTCTAAATTAAATCCAAGAACTTGACATTTTCCATCTACTCCTCCTGGGCTACCTGCAGTAAATACAGTATGTGTCTCTGAACTGGAATTGTTGGCTCATTGTTGTTTTCAATTAACTCCACATCACATGTGTTCATCATTTCCTCTGGATTCTCATCATCTGGAGCTCCACCTTCTTGGCTGCTGTTTTGCTCAGATCTGAATACAACCTGTCAGAATGTTCTTTTATGACCAGGGACAGGCTAGAAAAGCCAATTAGGAACTTAATTATTTGTGTTTAAGGAAGGGAGTTTTGAGAAAATAAAGAAAAGGTTGAAGCTCCTCGAGGCCAGAGGCCCAGTTTCAATCAGGACTTGGGTCTTGAAATGTCATTTCACCCTTAAATAAAAATGACCCAGCCTCTGAAAGCGCATGAGAGATGAGGAAAACTACTAAACTGACCTAAACCAAAGAGAGTTAGCTAGCTGAACTCAGACTGAACAGAATGGAGTTGAGAGGAGTTAGAGTCTGTTTGGCCTGTCAATGCTTTTAGGTGATTTAAAGAAGTATTTTGGAGTCAGGAAGGTAAGAAATGTTGCACAAAGTAAGCCTGGAGCCGTGTGAACCAGCTGACACCAAACAAGAGTCCAACCCTCCCCAAATTATGTTTGAACTTGGCTTTAAAAGATCATATATATATATATACACACACACTACCATCACTTGGCATATAGTAGCTACAGACTGACCCTTGTTACTCCAGCTGGTTTCAATGCTGAGAGGTGATGATGGATTTTTAATTAAATGTGGGAACCAAAGGTCCCAAAATGGAGTTTACAGCTAACCGAGCAGTATCCATTTGGTGGCTGTACAGAAAATGTCCATTACTGTCTCTATGGCCATGAGTCACCTCATTTGTACCTTTTTTTTGTCATCCAGCCACTGTCTTAACCACCATGCTACCAGAGTTTTGTGTTAATGATCACCTGCAATGGAAAAAAGCTAAGATCTAACCAGATAGAATTCAAATTAGAGGTGTTTTATGATGCCACTAATCTGATTTGATGACTATTCTTTGATCGTGTTTGCAAAAGGGAGCCAGGAGCTGGCTAAAGTTCAACAGGGATCCGAGCTTTTCCCCACAGAAGGATCTTCAACACATCACCAGGAGCCACAGAAATGGTGAAAGAGTCCCTGTTCTCCTCTCTGACACTAAAACAAACGAGTGGACAGAAGCTGAGGAACGGCTACTTTTTTTAAAGCGCTTGGTCTGACAAACACTGGAATCATTTGGTTTTATCAGACATTTGGACCAAAAAGTGGCTGTGGACAGAAAAAAGTCCAACGAATACGCAGGAGGTTCTCCTGAGAGCTGAATACTCCTCCAATCGTTTTAGGAGATAATCTAGATGGAATTGCATGTTCACCTCATTAACAATCACCCTGACAGGATATGGAGTCCAGAATGAGACAAATGACTTAAATACAGATTAGAAAAGTTCTAAAAACAAACAATGAAACTGTAAAAAAGGCATCAAGGTAATGTAGCATCAGATATCTGAATATTTTATAGAGAAATACGTCACATTTTGATAACATATGCATATTTACACCCAATAAACAGAGAAAATATCGTTAGATGATAGATGTGGGATTGCATTTGGGTGTTTCTGGTTTTGCCTCCCACAAATTGAGCAGGATATTATTTTAATTAATATCATTATTCAAATCAGCCTCACGTGATCAGCGCGAGTCAAACTCCAGAGTAAGGAGAGCAGCTGTGTGTCAGCAGCCAGAGAATAAAGTTCATCTGGAAGTTATTCAACACCTCTGTGGGTCCTCCTGGGGGAGGACAAACTTTTTTCCATCTTTTGGCAGACGAAGGGAGACTCTCAAACCAGCTCAGACAGATTTTAGGCGCAACACGAAAAACGCGCCGTTTTAATTCATAATTTGTTCTAAACATTTTTCTTTACTCAGCAGAATGGGTTTGGGTCAGTCTATTGTTAATTAGTGGGCTTAGGGCTCTTTTTTGGGCAGATCCTGACTCCAGATGGGGCTGATGGGCTTTTTTAAGCACGCGCACACGACCAGAAGCCGCATTTTTTCTGATTTCAGTCACTAAAAGTCCAGATTTCTCCCTAACTCAGAGTTTTAGTCCCGTTTAATTACTTCCATCCCTCTGGGGACTTCATTAAAAATGAGTCGCAGCTGAAAGAGTTTAGCTGAATTTGGAGATGCTTCCTTAGAGATGTTCTGTATTCTTAGTTTATTTCACACATTTCTTGGACTAAATCATCTTTAAATAAGCAGGAAATGTTCTGCATCTCATTCCCTCTGAGAGAGGCTCTAACAAACACACAGGGGAAAGCCCTTTAGGGCCGGGGGGGCCGTACCAGCTTGCACTTGTCCTCCGCGCCCTTCTTGTCCACCTCGGCCTGCTCCGCGCGGTCTATCGCGTTCTCCTTATCCAGCTTCAGCATCTGCATCTTCTTCTTGATGGCCTCCATTTTGCCTTCTTTGCGCTTTCACAGAGGGGAGAGAAAAGCTGCGTTATCCGGCCGGACAGAGGGCTGAGACCCGGGAGCAGGACAGGAGCTTCTGACGGGCTGGACTGAGCTGCCCGGGGCGCGCGCGCGGATAGGAATAGCCCCCGCGAGCTCCAGCCCGCGCGCGGATTCGTCGTGGATTCGCAGAGATCTTTGCCCATATTTAGGCAGCCAAAGACGCCAGAGAGAATAAACCCGATCTGTCCACCATCATCTGCTCCTGCCTCCATCCTCCAGCTCACACAAGTCCAGCCCCATCTCTCTGCTGGAGGGAGAACCAAAGCCTGAGGGGATGAGAGAGAGGGAATAAAACAGATAAAAACATCACAGCATCTCCAGAGTTTTACTCAAATAGACCTGGAACAGGTTGATAATCAAAGCTGTGTAAAGGGTTCTGAGAGGCTGGAGAGAAGACGGTTCTTAGAGGTTTTTAAACCTGTGTGGAGCTGCCCTCCATCAGCTGGTGGAACCTGTGAGGAGAACCGGATCAGAACCTGAAAGGCAGCAGAACCTGAACAGAACCTGAAGAGCTGAACCTGGGGGGCAGAACCCGAGAAGCAGCAGAACCTGAAAAGAAGAACAACCTGAACAGAAGAAGAACATCAGAACCTGAGAGGCAGCAGAACCTAAAAAACAGCAGAACCTGAACAGAAGAACCAGATCTGCAGCAGAACCGATAAGACGAGCAGAATCTGTTCCACTCATTTTAACAAAACCAAACCAGACAGTTCCATTCTTAAAGGCCCAAATAAAACTTCTCAGAGTTCCCTCTGAACCAGGTTCCAGTTCCCTCTGAACCAGGTCTCGGACTCCGGTCCTGTTTGGTTTCAGACGTGTTCCTTTTCCTGCGCAGCTGGTTCTGATTGAACTGGACCTCCTCTGGAGCTGGTTGAGCTTCACACCTGTCCGCTAACGGCCCTCTGACCCCTCATGGGCTCACGGCTGTTTGGATGGAGGCAAAAAACTTACAGAGATTAAACAGAAGCAATAGGAGACATTCTGACCAAAGTATTTATGGATGCAGACGTAGAGTTTAGTTGGAAAACCCTTATTAATTCTTTAAAACAGTTTAAAAACTCGAAAAAACAGCTTTGAAGCCCCAAAAAACAGTTTATAAACCCCCAAAAATATTTTTAAAAAACCCCAAAAAGACCTTTAAAAGCACACAAAAATAGATAATAAATCGCCCAAAACAGCTTTGAAGCCCCCAAAAACTGATTTAAAAGCCCCAAAACAGCTCGAAACCCCCCCCCAAAAAACAGTTAAAAAAACTAAAAACTAATCGTAAAAGATGTGCACCCCAGCATAAAGGAGTTATGTTAGTTATTTTGTGTGTTTTTAATCTCTTTTGTGTGTGTGTGATGGAGGGAGAACCGTTCATCCCTATGTGAGTATCCTGTGGAGTGACGGATGTCTAAATAAATAATGCTGCTTTAATGAACAGATATCTGGAGATGACCGGTGGATCGTTTAACAATGAAAATAACAATAAAAACAGAATTGAAACAAAAAGAAAAGCATGTTGAGGATGAACAAACGGATAAAAGTCCTGCTTCCTGTTTCACTGTGCAGCCTTTGGGGTTAAAGAAGTTTCCAAAAGTTCCATAAACAGGAGTTTTGTTCTGTGAGAAAAGAATGAAGAGACGAGCGTCCACAGTTTCCATGAAAACGTACTTTATTGAATATAAATCTCTGTCTGGGGCTGCTGTGCACCAGCATTACATCATGGTGAAGCCAGGATAACGTCAGAAAAAAAAGGCTTTGAATGATTACAGTCTGTTCTGAGTATTGATCGTAAATCCGTCCGATAGCTGATGAAGTTAAGTCACTTCACATGCAGCCGACATCAACGGTAACACTTCCTAATGATCCTCCTCTCCAAACCTTTGGGTCCCCTCAACACACTGATCTTATTAACAGCAGAGCGTTAGCTAGCATTAGCTTCAGCCTCGTTTTGGAGGGGTCAGGAAACACTTTGTGGCCCGATACAGTCAAACTGAGGTCAAAGGTTTTGGCTTTAAATATATGGCTTAATACTCAATACATAGACAGTTGCTCTGAAGCAATCCCAACTAAATACTAACACAAAGAAAAACAATATATTTCATAGCTCTTTCTTAAAAAAATACTGATTTCCCAATAATTTCTTTCACCTATTTTTAAAAAAATCTTGAAAAGTCAACATTGTATTTAGTTGATTTCTTTCATCGGATTTTTACAGTCAGAGAAACGATCTACTGAATATTATTACTAGTTCTAGTCGTGGTCCTTTGGAAATGTGCTCAGAATACTTGCATAGACTTTGAATAACTGGACTTGAGGCCTCATTCAGCGGCATAAGCCCCGGCGTGCGCACTCACACTCAAAAAGAGACGTATTAAAAGGTTAAAAAGCTACAAACACATCATCAGAAGCAAAGATAACTTAAGGGCATGTTCCTGTGTTAGCTAAACTCATTATGGGTGGTGTTGTTACACTTTAGGGTGGAAATGAAAGACAAAGAGGGTGATAACATGGCTTAGGTGTGAAAGCGTTAGCTGGGGGGGGCTGCCCCCCCCTCACTGGTCCTGGCTGTCCTCCCGGAGCTCGGAGGGGAGGAACTTGTACTGCTGCTGGCGGATCATGGCCAGCTTCTTCCGGGCCTCGTCCAGCTCCCGCTCTTTCCGCAGCATCTCCTCCTGAGCAGCGATGATCTGAAAGCCCACACGCCCGTTAGCAACGGCTAAGCCCACACGCCCGTTAGC